CTGCCCAGGATATTGGTGCCCCTCCAGTTCAGGTGCAACCCAAGCTACTTGTACAGGTCTCACCTTCCCCAGAAGGTATTCCAATGATCCACATATCTGAAGGCCTCCCTCCTACACCAGCTCCATAGCCACGTGTTCAGCTGCACTCGCTGTCTATTCCTGGCCTCACTAGCCCATGGCACTGTTAGTAATCCTGAGATTACTACTCTGCTCGTCCTGCCTTTTAGTTTCTAACCTAACTCCCTATATTCCCTTTTCAGGTCCTCATTCCGTTTCCTAGCTATGTCATTGGTACCGATGTGTACCATGACTTCTGGTTACTCACCCACCCCCTCAAGAAACATGTAGATTTGATCCGAGACATCCCTGACCGTGGCACCCAGGAGGCAACATACTATCCAGGAGTCTCATTTGTGACCACAGAATCTCCTGTCTGTTCCCCTAACCATTGAATCTCTTATCACTATTGCTCCCCTATTCTCCCCCATTCCCTTCTGAGCCACAGAGCCAGGCTCAGTGCCAGAGACTTGACTGCTATGGCTTTTCCCTGGTAGGTCGTCCCTCAACAGTATATAAAATGGTGTACTTATTATTGAGAGGAACGACCACAGGGGATCCCTGCACTGTCTACCTTGGACTCCCCTACTCTGGGAGTACCTACCCTATCCTGTTAACTCGGTTTCTATCTCAATACGTGGTCCACAACTAGCTGAGTATTTTCAGCACTTTTTCATAGAATAATAGAATTGCTATGTACAGAATGAGACCCCTCAGCTCAACATGTTTTCATCAGCTCTCCAAATGAGCATCATGACTTAGTGCCATTCTCCCACTTTTTCTGCATAACCCTGTTTATAATTTCTATTTAAACAATCATTGAATCATTGTAAATGCTTCAATTGAACCTTCCTCCACTGCGCTTTCAGGCATTGTATTCTAGCTCCCAAATCAGGGAATTCTTGTTTACAGATAGAATAGAGACTTGCACTCTTCAACAGATATTTGGTCTATTTTGCTCAATAGAAAGGGACAGAATGTCTAAAGAGAGATGTGAAGCAGCTGCCTTTATGTTTCTGGGTCCCCTCACAGGATATTCCTTGTCCTGGTCAATAGCTCCTTCGAACCTCTATTGGTAAAATTAATTTTGCAGGCAGCCTAACACTAGAGGTTCCTGCACCGGTGCATGATAACTTCAAAACTTGTCCTTGGGCCCTCCCAGGAGAAAGCAGCCATCCCTGTTGTGGTAATTCTAATCATGCATCGAACAGTGAAGGTGCAGGGGGATTGGGGGGAGGAGGTTGTTGCAGGAAAGCTTGGGTATCTTGGAGTGCCTGAGTATGGAAGTGTTGTGGCTACCTCTAGGGTTCCAAGCACTAACCCGCAACATCTGGGCTGGTAATAGGAATGTGGGATAACACAGTGTGGAGCTGGAGGAACACAGCAGGCCAGGCAGCATCAGAGGAGCAGGAAACTTGACATTTCGGGTCGGGAACCTTCTTCAGAAATGAAGAATTCTGAAGAAGGGTCCCGACCCAAAACATCGACTTTCCGGCTCCTCTGATGCTGCCTGGCCTGCTGTGTTCCTCCAGTTCCACACTGTGTTGTCTCTGACTCCAGCATTGGCAGTTCTTACTATCTCTGGTGATAGGAATGTGTTGGGTGAGGTGTGAATGGCTGTGGGGCACCTGTCCAAGTGCATCATGCAGGAATAAAAAAAAGTTTAGATAGACTTGAACCAGCAATAAAAAAGAAACAAAATGGAGCCAGAAATTATGATCTAAACTCAGTGAGCTCAATGTTGAGTCCAGAAAGCTGTCAAGTCCCTCACCTGGATAGCTCTTTTGTTTCTTTACTGCATCCATTACCACTCCTTTAGGATTTTACATCATGGCGGCTTTTTTAGTCATTTAATGTCTGCTGCCCTCCAGTCTATCAGTGCTTTGAGTATAGGAGATGGGACATCATGTTGCAACATTGGTGAGGCCACTTTTGGAATACTGCAGTTAATTCTAGTCTCCTTGCTAAAGGAAAGATGTTGTGAAACTTGAAAGGGTTCAGAAAAGATTCACAAGATGTTGCCAGGGTCAGAGGGTTTGAGCTATAGGCTGAATAGGCTGGGGCTTTTTTCCCTGGAGCGTTGGAGACTGATGTGTGATCTTATAGAGGTTTGTAAAATCATGAGGGGCATGGACAGGGTGAATAGCCAAGGTCTTATCCCCAGGGTAGGGGAGTCCAAAACTAGAGGGCATAGGTTTAAGGTGAGAGGGGAGAGATTTAAAAGGGACCCGCGGAGTAACGTTTTCATGCAGAGAGTGGTGCATGGAATGAGCTGCCAGAGGAGGTAGTGGATGCGGGTACATTTACAATATTTAAAGGCATCTGGATGGGTACATGTATGGGAAGGGTTTCGAAGAATATATCCAAATGCTGGCAAATGGGACTAGATCAGTTTTAGGATGTCTGGTTGGTGCAGTGGAGTTGGACTGAAGGGTCTATTTCCATGCTGAACGACTCTATGACTCTATCAAAGACCTTCCCATTTGTTCTACTGCTTCCCCCTTCCATTTGCTTAAAACCTGTTACACTTCTATCTTTCTTTGGTTCTTACAAAAGCTCTTTGATCTAAAATGTTAACTGTTTCTCTCCACAAATGCTTCCTTACCTGCTGTGAATTGCCAGAATGTTCTGTTTCTGTTTTAGATTTTCATATCTGCTGTAGTTTTCTCTTGTACCTGCAGGACCTTTGGCAGTAGTCACAGACTATTTGTACATTGATGGAATTGGAATTCTTTCTATTGATGAAGGCTGATGGCTAGCTCGTGTGAACCACGGTTGGCCACAGGTATGCAGTTTTTAACACACCACATCTGGGGGAATCCAGTAGTTGTACAGAATCCTCTGGCTTTCTCCCTGTGTCTCTGCTACTGTACAAATCAATGGACCATAGCTGGTTGCTCTGAAGAGGAGCTGATATACCACAAACTGGGAGTTCCCACACACATCTCCAGTGGTTTCATGAACAATACAGCATAAGAAATAGGTGAAAGAGTTGTCCATATTGACTGGTTAAGTTTCAACATGATTGTGGCTGATCGTCTGCTTCGACTCTCCTTTCAAACCTACTACCCATAGCCTGGTGAGAGCTGGATGCTCAGATGTTTAGCACCATCATCACCTTCACTGCCATTGGAATAAGGTGGTCAACAATGACAGGGGCTCAGCCTGATCTCCATCATAACACAAAGCTCTGTGATGGACTCTGGGAGAGGTACATTCTTTGACAGTGCAGCAATACAGATATTTGAAGCTAGCTCATCCTCTGTAAGCAGGCCCTTATTCCAGAGAACCTTTGCAGCTCTGTGCATACCACTTACTTTGTGTCATATTCCTGCCTCTCCATTTGTTCAATTCATGGTAATGCCTGTTGCTAGATCACACTCTGGTGCCGTTAATTCCCCCATTAGTTCAATAGTGGCATCTGAACCCCTAGAACAATGGGGCACAGTGCCAGTGCTTATCTACCCTCTGCATGAAGGGACACCGCCTTACCCAATGGCTGCCAGACAAAGACAGAACTGTGTTTTTTCTTAATTTATGAATTCATGGGATGTGGATGCATTGGTTGGGCCAGCATTTATTGCCCATGCTTAGGTGCCTTTGGTGAACTGCCTTCTTGAACCTTTCCACATTAGTTACCTTACCTGCCAGGTCTCTGAGAACTTAACACCCCAGTGGACCACCCATAAATTCAAAATCAGCTTCTCGTGGCCCTTTAATTGGCTTAATTAACATTTGGTCTGTTCAAGATGTACATTCCTTCTGCTGTACCATTTGTCTTGTGCAAAATCCAGAATTGGTGTGATAAATTTTTTGCTGCCTTCCAACTCTTATCTCTTTATCTTTACACCCACTTCCAGATCCATTTTCAAAGGGCACAAAAAGTTATGTCCATTTCTCAAGATTGCTGATCATTTGCAGTCAGAACTTATTGCTATCCCTATTTGGGTAAACATATTAGTTTCAATATTTCTTGAGAGATATGAATCTGCTTAAGCAAAATGGAAGGAAATTAAGGCTGATTTCAAAGTTTTTCTTCTGATACAAAATTCTGCCCAATGTGAGTGCTTATTGAGTTGGAAATGCTGATAAGGTGCTAACAGTAATTTTCCATTTATTTCTGGAGCAGAATTGTGGCCAGCCCAGATTCCAGAGATCAACTCTTAGCAAGTGAGGTTGTTCGCCAGAGAAAAAAAATCATAAAATCAGCTCTGTAATGTCAACCAATCGAACAATGCTGAATATTCAGAATTGTTGAAATGCAAAATGGCTTTGTTTGCTGTATTCTTAGCCTTGTCATTTGTCACTCTATAATATATGTAAGTCTTGGAAACAACTTCCTTCTGTATAGCCCTTTATCCTTGTATATCTGCTATTTGCTATTCTAAAATGAATACAGCTGCCGTGCACAGCATACCATCAAAAACTATGAAGTTCTATAGTCTATGAAATATTTTCAGTGCTTAGCTTGATCTTTAACTATTGCTTTTGAGATTTCACATATCAGAAACTGGCACATATTTATGTTGCAACTGATTCCAACAAACAATTAAAGATTCAATCAATTTAGTGGAGTGCATTGCTGCTGCTGTGCTTTAAGTAGCTCCAGCAGTGCTTTAAAATTCTTGCTTTGTGCATACAAAGGCGACTCATTGAGTGTGCAACAGAACATTGTCCTCTTGCAACAAATTCCACCTATGCTTTGCTCTGTACTCATCCTGCTAATAATACAGCAATGCCTATATAGTTACCTCTTGCACATGGTTCCTTGACTATGTCATATTTAAGTACCTTTTTAGTATGGAGCAAAGGGAAGTAAATGAAACAGGAAGACTCATATAAAATGTAACGAACATGTTTGTTTTTAATCTTCTCACTCATTTGGAGAATGACTTAAAATGATAAATTTCACATAAAGGATATCATAATTTCCCACAGATTACAGGATAAGGCAATCAGTTGGCATGTCAGTATTGGTAAGCAATAGTGGTTCTTCATTGTGGGAAGCAATTCTATAATAGATACAATACAATTATGACAGAAGATTTTGATGCAGGTAAGGCTTCCTATAAAAAGAGAAATGAAAATAAAAGATTAGATTTTATTTGTGATTCGAAAGTCTGACATTCCTGCCTATTTTATATGTGTTCCAATTCTTTCCACAAATTTTTAAACTTTAGTGACAAATGTAGGTAATTTAGCCCGTCAAATCTGCTCTGCTATTCAATAAAATCATGTTGGCCTGCAACCTAACTCCACATATAAACTTGAACCATTTTCTTTGTTTCTCTATTTACACAGATGATTCCTAACCTGCCGATGTATGGAAAATCAGAACACTGCAAATGCTGGAAATCTGATGCAATAACAGAAAATATTGACAAAACTCGGCAGGTTAGGAATCATCTGTGGAAATAGAGAAACAAAGAAAATGGTTCAAGTTTATACGTGGAGTTAGGTTGCAGGCCAACATGACTTTATTGAATTGCAGAGCAGATTTGTTGGGCTAAATTACCTACATTTGTCACTAAAGTTTATCAGATATCCCATATTGTCTTTGCTTTAAAGATATCTCAAGTTTGAAATTAGTAATTGATCTAGCACATTGTTTGCAGAACTTTTACCTCTCTTGGACATAGACGTGTTCCTTAAATTCACTCCTGAAAGATTTGACCCACACTTTTCAAATATACTTTTATACCACCTTGTGTTACTTGACATAACTTTCTGCCACTGAAGCTGGTGAATCAAAATAACCTAGAGTTTCACATGCAGAAACAACCAATAATAAATATCTATTATTTATAGGGTGAGTCTGAGCAATAAATTTTGGACGGTATTTGACTGAGGGAGGAATTACAGTTAAATCCAATAGTGTTAATGTCCATGAATTAACAATTCCAGTCCAGGTACTGAATAACAGCCAGCAAAATAAACCATCATTAGAATTATTTACCATTGCCTAAGGTGGAAATTACCTGACTGCCATTGCAGATACTATTGGTTAGCTCTGAATAGTTTATAAAACCTTTTCAGGTGTGAATGACTTATTGCTACACTTACCTTCACCCACATTTGTTTCATCAGAAGAAATGTCTCTCTCTTATCATCTCAGTGCATCTCTTATTGAGTAAAAATGTTACATGCCTTGGAACTGATACATTTGCAGACTTTCAATTGTCATTCAATATTCTTGAAGATCCAGTAACTATAAATACATCATAAATAATATTTTTACATGTAAATTAATGAAGTAATTTATAAGAAATCATGTTTTATGATTTTGGACAGATTTAGAAAATATGCTATGAGATGTAACTGATGGAAATCTGATTTGGTTAATCAAATATATCAATATTTTGCAGAGGTAGGAAGATTCTACTTTTCATTGAGCCAACAGCAAAATAAACATTCAGTTAAGGACACAACATTTGAATGAACAATAATTAGTTGATTGTCTTATCCATTATAATTCAACTTCTATAAAATTTACATATTCGCTTTCCATTGCTGATTTTCTTTCATTGAAATAATACAATTTTAGTGAAAAATTATCTTAAATCTAAAATTTATTTTAGATCTTTCTGATACCTGCAATGAAGAACAAAATATAGTATGATGACAGTGATACTGTCTGTTACTCTGTTAGACTAAACACAATCTAAGGAGAAACACAAAAATACCTTATATCATCATGTAGCAATTACACTGTCATACGAGTAACCTTATATTTTGTACGACAATTACACTGTCAAGTTGGAAATAATTCCATCCCAATCTTGTGCTATATAGACTTGACTTCTGTGTTAAACTGATTGGTTCATGTATGAATTGTTCAAGCAAATGCTAGCTCACTTCTCATTATTTCCATAACAGAGAAAAGGTATGTGCATGTCCCAGGAAAGAAGAAAATATTCAATAAAAGTGCAATAAATTTGTTATGTTAAGATTTAATTCAAGAGCTCCTAAGCTACTCGTCTACATCACTGGATTTTTTAAACAGCTGCAATATTCCTGTTAACTCCCTCCTTACGTGCTCTTAAGAGAGACTACGCTGTTCAGATTTATTCTCCTTAATTCAGTAGTTGAATAAATTGTCACATGGAATAACCATACATGAAACAATGACATTTGCCATCCAATATCATGGAATGCATCACTAAAGGAAAAAAGTAAAAATTTATTTGGAATCATCCAGAATCTTCTGTACTCTTACATAACCAAAGCGAGTAATGAATTATTGCTTAATAATTCTTAAGCAATAACTTCTTTTTAAAAACCAGTTGGAAATTCTCAGTTACAGAAAGCTGGACCATAATGCATGGTCAGCACAGACATAGTGGGCTGAGGGGCATGTTCCTGTGCTGTACTGTTCTATGTTCTAATCGCACTTTGCTCTAAATAACAAAAATAGTTTTGTTACTCCAATTGTTTCCTCTTATGTTTTGAGTGTGAATCACATAAGGGTATTGATCATGGGCACAAGATTTCCCTGAGTATTATGCTCAAGAGGCTGCTTTTCCTGGTTAGTTTTGATGTAATTATTTTCAGAAAAAAACAATTGTTGCAATTTTGGTTCCATACGGCCCAATTTATGATACCACGGTTGTCACTTCAGGCCCCAGCCTGTGCCTGCCATTGTGTTGAGCACTTAAATTCTGTTAAAATGATTAGTCTAGATGCGGGAAGCAAGTATCAGAAATATTCAGATTATACAGATTGGCAATGTGTAATGCTGATTTGACAATAGTGGTGCCATTTTTAACCTGAGTGCTCCAGCTGATGCCCCCTCTTAACCTCACATAGCTGAAAGTGCATTCCGCAACAGGAAGGATATCCCAAGTTAAAGAGATTAAATGGATCAAATACTACTTTCAGGTTAGTTGCTGATTGGTCTGTGCTGGCATTTGCTGAGTTTGTGCAAGTGCTTTCGGGTTGCTACTTAAAGTTGCTGAAGTGTGCAGGGAATTATGTGAGCCATACTGAAAGCATTGACTTTAAGCGGTCCACATGGTCTCATGCATGGGTGCAGTTGTTTCTAAACTTCTTGATTTGCAGCATGACAGGGAGAATGAGTACAGGCAATAAAGAGGAGTACAGCTGGTAGGGGATGAAGAAGGACTCTGAGTGGCAGGCTGTATTACTGTCAGGTGTTCAGAGAGAAAGCACTCTTTCAAAGTCTTCATCTGAGTCCTCTGCAGCAGAACTTGTGAGCAGTCTCAAGTTTTGTCAGCTTGTACCTGCACTACTCTGTCCTGACCGCAAGTACTTGTGTCTTGTGTTTTGCCACATCCAGTTTCCATCTAAACTATTCTGTAACAGATGTCCCATGTGAGTAATTTAGCTGGTGGTGGCAAGTAAGAGGAAATTGTACTGTTTCTTCCTCATTTCTGCTTGGAGAGAGCAAGAAGTGCATGTTTATACCATCTGTATCTTGTAAATCAGAGGTGATTGTGGACCAATGTGGGAATCAGTTCAGAGAAAGATGATTGGATATGAGCATTTGTCATTTTCACTAGCTTTGGACCCATCATTGACCACAGCCTCAGTCATGCATGTCCACCATAATGATGGAGATCATTGTCTCCTCCGTAGGAATAAGAATATGGATCCTGTTGCTTAGGTGCTGCTGTGTCTAGTATTGCACCAACTTCTTTTACAGGTGAAAGGAAGATATCAGAATGAATGTGCGGCACTGTTCTTGGGGATTTGCTGAGCATGTTGAATCATTGGTAATGTATGCCAGTTATGACATGTTGGGTTTGAGACTTGCAACAGTTCTAATCATGCAAATGTGAGGTGAAGCTATAAGCATGAAATATGAGTCATATTGGTGTTTGGTGAGTGAACAGTGTTTGAGGCTAATGGTTCAGAAATAAGACATGACTTTTGAAGATAAATTTGCTAACCTTTGCCATTTATGTGAGTCACTAAACTGCAGCACTGCAACTAAAATGTTTGACTGAAATGGTTATCCGTATTTATTCCCATCTCAGTGTTTGTCTGGATGGCCTCCTGGCCTTCTGTCTCATCTTTTGTCCTGTCCATTTCATACATCAATGCTCGAAGTGCTGCTTCTGAACACATCTCTGTCTTGTTACAAGACTTGTCATTGTTCTACCTGCATTCAGAAAATACCTACTCTTTCAAAGGTGTGGGCTGGCTATTAGTGGTGCAAGTTTGCTTTCAGGCATGCTCACCTTGTATGTATTTGGGCCCCTTGCTGAGGGCTGCAGCCATTTAACAGCACATTTAGCATGATGCAACATGAAGGTAGCGTTTAAGCCAGCAGGTAGCAAAATGTTTGCATGCTGCCTGCATTGGAAGGAAAGAATGATGGTTAAGTGTACATCATAGTCTCATACCGATTCTGGAAGACAGTCAAATTTTGCCTCCAATAACCTTTGGTAACTATTGTATTACATAATGAACAGATGTTAATTCAAATGACAAAGTCAAATAACATTCAGTATATTGCAAGAAAATTACATAAACAAAATTTTCAGTATTTATCATGTTTTATGAAAATAAAACTTTAGTGTTTTACATTGAAGGCTGGAATATAAAGTGGGAAACTTCAGCTACTGTTCAGTGATGGCTATTTATTATTGCATACACAGTACAGTGACTCTTCCATTCATGACTTCTCTTTATTATGTCATTACCTTATCTGCCTCATTGATAAATTTTGGAGTTGGGGGTGCAACTCATATCTAGTTGTAACTCTGATTTTGGGCAGTTGTAGGATGGTTGTGGTTCAAAATTCCTCTGGATGTTCACCTCACCAGACTCCCACTTGTTTGAAATCCTAGCCTAAAATTGATGGTCAAAAAGAATCATGTTCATACCAGGTATACAGAAACTTAGCATACAGGTTGACCAAACAAGTAGGATGGTGAATGACATGTTTTTTCAAAATTCATTTGTGGGATGTGGGCATTGCTGGCTGGCCAGCATTTATTGCCCGACCCAAGTTGCCCTTGAGAAGGCGGTGGTGAGCTGCCTTCTTGAACCACTGCAGTCCACCTGCTATGGGTTGATCCACAATGCTGTTAGGGAGGGAATTCCAGGATTTTGACCCAGTGACAGTGAAGGAACAGCGATGTATTTCCAAGTCAGGCTGGTAAGTAGCTTGGCTGTTTCTGCCGTTGTCTTTTTCAGTGCCTAGGTCAATGCCAGGTGATTCGTTTCTCTGTGACTTTGTAGCGATTGGTAAAACACAATGACATGCTTGGCCATTTTAGAGGGCAACTGAGAGTCAACCACACTGTCTGGAGTCACATGTAGGCCAGACCAGGTGAGGATGGCAGATTTCCTTCCCTGAAGAACATTAGTGAACCAGGTGGGTTTTTCCTGATAATCAACAATGGTTTCATGGCCATCAGTATTAATTCTTAATTCCATCTGCTATGGTGGGATTTGAACCCAGGTCCCCAGAACATTAGTTGAGTTTCAGGATTAATAGTCTAGCCATAATACCACCAGGCCATCGCCTCCTCTGTTGTTCTTCACTACAAGGGGATTGAAGAGTTAGAAAAATGAAGTTTTGCTTCTGTTGTTTAAGGTTTTGGTGCGACCACATCTGGAATATGGTGGGTAGTTCTGGCCCCCACATTTAAGGAAATATATTCTTTAATTAGTAGTGGTTATGCAAATGTTCACTAAGATGATCCCTGGGATGAGGGTTTGTGAAAATGATGAAAGGCTGAGCTAATTGGCTTTGTCTGCTAAAGTTAAGAAGTGAGCTCAGTTAGATGTACAAGATCCTGAAGGAGCATAGTAGGGCATAGGCTGAGAGATTGTTTCAGTTGTTCAGGAAACCTAAAATACAAGGGTGCATTCTCTGAATAAGTGGCTACCATGTAGGACTGAGCTGAGGAGACATTCCCTCACTCAATGAATTGTGAATCTTTGACATTCTCTACTTGAAGGGTTGTGGAGGCCTCACTGCTGCACATATTTAAAACTGGGATAGATAGATTTTTGATCTCACTTGAAGTGATAGATATGAGGAGTCAGCAGGAAAGTGGATTTGAAAACTAAGATCAAGCGTGATCATATTGAATGGTGGCCTAGACTCATCAGGCTGTAGGATCTAATCCTGATCCAACTTCTTGTGTTCTTATACATTAGTCAAGCACATGAAGCTCAGTTTTGAAGCAGGCAACAACCCCATTAGGATATGCAGAAGAGTAGGAATGGCTCGTTGCTAATTCAGGGCAAGGGCCAGAATGCTGAATCTCAAACAGCTCAGTGGCATGATCTCTAGTGAACTTAGAAGCACAAGGATTTTAATACTCCATATACTTTCAAGGTAAGAACATTAGGCCCTTTCATTTTGTTTTGTTTTGAACTGGTATTTTGACATTTGAAGTAGTGTGAAGTGCAACTTGACAGAGTACTGCCTGACAGAGTTCTTACACTTGTCTTGTGGAATTTGGTGAGTGAAGGAATTTGGTGTACAAATGAAAGTGGTATTGTTTCTGATTTCTACAGAACAAGCAAGGTGTCAAGCCTCACTGGGATAACTTGCAATAATCACAGAATAAAGACTTAAGTTAATCATAAAAATATTAGGTTAGTCTAAACTATAGCATAAGCCTAAGTTAACCAGAGGGCATAAGCTTGCAGTGAGGATTAAGTGGTGTCAAGGAGAGCTGAGAGAAAAAAAAATCACCTAGAGAATGGTAGAAATATGGAATATGCTGCCTGGATGGTGTAGGTGGGCACAGTTGAAACATTTAAGAACATCCATGACATGCCTTACCTTTTAGCCTCTGCTACCTCAGCCAGAGATAACATGCTCACTGTATTTCTGGCTTGTCTTGCTGTTAAGTGCAGCATGAAGTCCGATTTTCATGGATGGTAGCAGTTCTTAGTGAAGTCAAGGGAGATACTCCTCAGTCAAGGGGTCCTAGCACAGTAAGTCAATAGAAGCCTCTAATTGTAGTCCAGATACTTGAACTGTGAGTGGAGAGAGTTTACTTTGCGAGAGGATTTCAATGTTCATCACCAAGAGGTGTTTTGTAAAACTATTACTATAGTCAGTGGTGAGTGAAACAACAAGAGGGAAAAACCTACTTAATCTTGTCCTCACTAATCTGCCTGCCACAGATGTGTCCACCCACAATGTTCATTTTTGGAGAGATCACTGCACAGTCCTTGTAGAAACAAATTCTATCTTCATACTGAGGATATCATCCAGCATGTTGTGTTGCATTTCAATTATGCTAAATGGGATAGATTCAGAACAGATCTAGCAGATCAAAATTGGGCATGCATGAAGATCTGTGGGCTATCAGTAGCAGCAGAATTGTAATTGTCCACAATAGATAATCCAATGACCTGGTAATTCTTCCATTACCATAAAGCAAAGGGATCAAGCCTATTCAATGAAGGGTGCAGGAAGGTATGCCAGGAACTACACTATGTATATTTAAAAATGAGTAGCCAACCTGATGAAGCTATAATACAAGACAACTTGTACACCAACCCATGTAACAACAGGAGACCAACAGAAATAAGTGAACCCAAAACCAATGGATCAATTAATTGCACTGCATTCTGACCACCTCCGCTGGTGAATGGTGGTTGACAGTTAGACAATTAATCAGAGCAGGAAACTCCACAGATATACTTATCCCTAATGATGTGGCAGCTCAGCACGTCAGTGAAATGACAAAGCTGAAACAGTTGGCCAGTTCAGTGGACAGCACATTTTGATCTTCTCTTGAGGTTCTCAACATCACAGATGTCAGTCTTCATTCAATTTGATTCACTCCACATGATATCAAGAAACAACTGAAGCCAGTATGAACAAGGCTACTGCCCCTGACAACATTCCTCCAGTAGCACAAAAGACAAGTGCTTCAAACTAACTGCAGACCTAACAAAACAGGTTCAGTACTGTCACAGACTGCGATCTAACCGAAACTGTGAAAAATTGCCCATATTTGTCCAGTTCACAAGAAACAGTACAAATTGAATCTGGCCAATTTCTCTCAATTATCAGCAAAATATTAAACTTGTTGATAGCCGTACTGAAGTGGCTGGGCCACAATAATAACTTGTTCACCAATGCTCAGGTTGAGTTTTTCAGGACAACTTGGGCTCAAAGCCTAATTACAACCTCAGTCCAAATGTGGACAAAAGAGCTGATCTCCACATGTGAGATGAGAGTTATGATCCTTGACATCAACATGGCACTTAACCAAGAGTGCAATCAAGAAATCCCAGCAAATTTGAGGATAATGGGAATTAAGGGAAAAACATCATATCTGTTGCAATCATATCCAAAACATAGAAACATGGTTGTGGTTATTGGAGGCCAATCCCTGGGCATCACTTTAGGTGTTCTCAGAGTCGTGTCCTCAGTATCACCAGGTTCATCAATGACTTCTCATCCATCCTCAGGCTAGAGTGGGAATATTCGCTGATGATTTCACAGTCTTTAATGAGGCTCATGATTCCTTAGATTCTGAAACAGTCCATATCCAAATGCAGCAAGACTTGGAATACATACAGGGTTGTGCTGATAAATAGCAAGCAGCATTCATGCCATTCAAGTACCAACAAGAAAGAATCTAACCATCTTGGCTTGATAATCTATGGCATTACTATATTGAATACCCTACTATCAACACGCTAGGGTTACTAATGACAGGCAACTTAACTGAATGAACCACTTACTTACTGTGGCTGCAAAAGCAGGTCAGAGGCAAGAAGTTTTGAGCCAATTAACTCACTTCCTGAATTGCACATGCCCGCTCAATATCTACAAGGTACAAGAAATGTCTTGGAATACTCTTCATTTCCATTAAAGAATGTGATCCTATGACATGAAAGAAGCTGGACACAATCCAAGAGAGAGCAGCCCATTTGATCATCACCCACTCCACCATAGCACATGGTGTCACCTGTTGAAATCCCTTTGGAAACAGGTAACTTCTAAATTTGATTTCCCAGTGACTAACTCCAAAAATTGCACAATCAGATTACAAGTTTTAAGATTTTAACTTGAAAAACCATCAAAAGCAACATTAACTGAGCACTATTTTAGTAGGCACAACATCAAAACCTCCCACAATAGTTACAGTTTACTCTGTGTCTTAAGTGAGCGATTTATTCATCAGAAACTAGTCCAAAGTGATTCTTAGCTTTTCTTTCCATTTTTCAGACAGATAATTTCTAATCCCTGAATTAACATTCACAGGGTGAGTCACTTCAGAGATTCCTCTGTCTAGCCAAAATAAATCTACATTTGAAATCTTATGATTTTGATTGCTTCAGTCCAACCATGAGTGTCTACTCCCATTTTGTGTGGTGAATGATAGCTGCCTCAATGTTTATGTCTCTCTTTCTTTCCTGGATTTTTGAAAACTGACTTGTCTGTGAAATATAGACATGTCTTTAGGAAAACCTGGAACCCAATTCTGCAAAAGCTTCTGAAAGAATCTCCCCTCTCAAAATTCATACATAGGAGAAATGTGAACCACAATGGGACAGAATGTGTCATTTGGCTTCTTTCTGTGCTCTAAATATTGGCCTTGTATTCAGGATGAAATGCTAAACAACTGTCTTCTAGACTTTAAACTCCATTCTCTCTTGGAGTTAAATACACAGTTCAAAATATAATAATTTTTAAAATATGACATTCCTCACACATCCCTGAAACTTGGAGACTTACAGTCTACACAAATTCTAAACAGCTATCCTGATCATTATTATTTACAGGTCAGAATGTCTTGCACCTTCTTCCCAGTAAAACAAACTGGTCACCAACTATAAGCACCAGCTCCTGCCCCAAACTTTAACAGCTAAAAACCAAGTCACACAACCTTGTAGCCTGGAGAATTCAGAAGAGGTTACATGACACCATTTATCCCTCTCTCTTATCTAAATTGAAAGCACAATCCC